TCCTCTTCCCCCATGCATTCACACAGGCAAGGCCTGTCCTGCTGGTCCTTCAAACAGCCACCACCCCACTGCTCTCGGCAGCCCCAGACCCAGGGGCGAAGCAGCTGTCGCCCAGCTGAGCCACGCACACTGCTCACTGGGCACAGCGAGCACATTTAGAACAACTATTTTTAAATAAGGCATGATAATTTATGTGCCTCCCTTCAAGTACACAGAGGTGCTGGGAGACCATTAATTTTGACAGCTGTGATACTTCTTTCCCCAAACGCTTATAGCCAGTGTGTCAGTGGGAGATGTTACACAGTTAGGACAGCTCCATGCCCTTCTGTGTCTGTCCTTACTTTGTTTCAGGACTAAATACGTTCTGCAGTGAATATATGCCCTTCCTAAGTGGAAGATCCTGTTCATTTTAATGGCCCCACTGTCTTGAATAAGGACAAGTTGCCCACACAAAAGTTGGCTGGGTCAGCTCTTTGTCCTAACCCAGCCTGCTTCCGTATCCTCAAGCACTGCAAGGATTTTCTTTGGAAACAGGAAGTATAAATTGAAATGAAGAACATGACTTAGACGCAAGATCTTTTAAGACCCAACATTGGACTTTTACTTGAAGAATGTATGCTGAGGTTGCAAGCAAGTCAGAGTGGGACCATCTTTTTGTTCTCTTTGTACAGCACCTAACGCAACAGTGCCAAAGCCACAGAGAAGGTTCCTCAGCAGCATCAAGCAACTATAGCAGTGCTGGTGCCCGGAGACATCCGTCTGTGTCTATGAAAGAAACTTGTCTCCTTTCTTGCCTTCATCCTTGTCCCTGGATTGGACTAGCAACCTGTTTCAGTTCATGCTTTCCATTTAGGCTAACCTCAGACACTTGGTTTCCACTTGATTGGAAACAAGTGTGCTGAAAGCTGTCTGCTCTTTCTTCACTATACAATGTGGACTGCTGCCTGGCTCCAATCTGGAAGCAATTATTTCCCTACTGTACCTACCCATTCTGAAAAGTCAAAGACTTATCCCTAGACTTTTTTCGTCTTCCCACTTTATTAGCCGCTTCCTTCATAAAGAAAAGCTTGTAATTGTATATAATGCCCACAGAACAGCTCTAGCTCTAGCTCTGGATGTCACATATTTCTGTTATGTGACAAAAATACTGCCATGTTTTAAGGCCAGGTCTCCCATAGGGAGTTTTGTATCAGTAAACTTGCTGCAGTGAATTCACCACTCCTTTGTCCTCTTCTGATAGGATGAGAGCTTGAATTTGTGGGACTTTAAGAAGGTGCTTTAAGCACCCATTGTGGTTATGCTGGTGTAAATACTCTTAACCCCAAAGAATGGTCAAAACATCCACGCACAGATGTGCAGTAGTGCTTGCAAGTACATGCAGATGCTATTAGCATAGCATAGTGCAGCTCTTTTAAAAAAAGAAGATCCTTGCTTATCTGCATGTATTCCTGGATTTATTATTTCATTCAAATGTTCCTACTTTTTGATATGTGTATGCAGACACGAGGGAATGAGAGCAACAGAGAACCAGAATCTGCAGATATTTGCAGATAGGGGGAAGCTTATGCCCATGAATAGTGCCATTATACTCAGTGGGATGACTTTTCTAAGAAAGATTGATCACATACTTTATTTCATGAAAGACCAGCTCCTGACTGAGCACAGGCACTGAGGAAACGGATTGGAGTGGAAAGAGTCTAAAAATCTCTTTTCCTGCACTGAATTCAAAATAGCATTTCTCTTACTGGAAAAACAAACATAAGCTCATTTTGGGTGTCTCTGTCTGTCTGCCTGCGGGATTGGCAACCCACACCTTCTGCAGATTCAGAGACCTCTCTGCCCCTGTTTATGCTCTAGAGGTTATGTCTTAATTACAAAAAGCTGATCTGCTGTGACATCAGTTTCCCTCTCTAGGGGAAATTCCTGGCTGTGAAATCCTAGCAGAGAGACAAATTGCTGTTGGTTTTGGGTTTTTTTTTTTTTCCCTTGGCCAGTCCAGACCAACCCCAAAACTGCCATCTGGGTTTGACCTTGACTACTACTTTGAGAGCAAATCGCAGAGCCTGCTCTCCTGAAATGCTGACATACAGACAACTATTTCCAATGAGTTATCTTGATACAGAAATCATGCTGTATCACAGCCAAGAGCCTGCTCCCTCTGCCAAGCAGGACCTGTGCCTGGGGGCCGCAGGAGCTGAGAAAGTGCTATCTGTGGCCTACCCTGAACCAAAAAGGACGGATGGTGTCCTGGACATGTTAGGTACAGCTCTGCCTAAACCTGGGGCTGTGCTACAGCAAGTGGATGTGCTTAAAACCCTCGTGTTTGGTGTCTGGGGATGTGGGGGTCATCTCCCCTCCACGGGACGTGCTCACCCAAAGCCACGCAACCCGGCAGGGAGGGCTTTGCACCAACTTTGGTCTGGTGTGAGCGACCAACAGGCCGAAAAGCAGCAGGACTGAGCCTTTGTGCCTGGGGGAAAGGGGATGCGGCGTGAAATGGCCGGGCTAGCCGTGCCTTCGAGCTGGGCGCTGGGGGACACGGGTGGCCTTTAGCTCCGCGTTCCTAGGGCTGCAGGCAGCACCCTTTGCCTTGACCGCTGTGCCCAGGGGAGGAATACGAAGGCCAGCAAGCGTAGGGAGGCTGGCATGCGGAGGAAAGGCGGGAGGACGTGTGTGTCCCCCCCGCCCCGGCTGCGGGACCTGCACCGCTCGCTCCGGCCGGCCGGGGGTGGAAAATGGCTCGTGTATCTTTAACCCACAGCGGCCAAAACGCGGCGGTGGTGGTTTTTTTTTTTTTTTCTTAGTTAACAATGGAAACTTTTTTTTTTTCAGTATTTCCCTCCAGCCGAGCAGCGCCGAGTGAGCAAAAAAAAAAAAAGAAACTTGTTCCGCTGAGTTCAACCCCAGACAGGCTCACAACTTCCTTCCTGCTCTCCTACCCCCTCCCTCCGCTCTCCTCCTCCTCCTCCTCCTCCTCCTCCTCGCCGCTCCTCTCCCTCTCCTCCTCCTCCTCCTCT